CATTACCTCTTGCTCTGCCATTGACAGAATTTTCCAGCTTTCCATATTTTCACTGGTATACGGTAGGGGGCGCTATTACACATCTTCTAAAAAAATACTGAATCTCTGGATCAAACCATAGACTGTAAAAAAAATGGACGACGTGTGTCCACTTCCTTGCACTAAAGAAAAGTTGAGCCAAAACATCCCAGAATGGCCGGTGTCATCTTGCGCCAATGACGTAATTTGGAGCCAGAGTCTGCACAGTAGTGATTCATTTGGAGCCCGTGTCTGCGCAGTCTGCGCACTAGTGATTCATTTGGAGCCCGAGTCTGCGCAGTAGTGATTCATTTGGAACCAGAGTCTGCACAGTAGTGAATCATTTGGAGCCTTAATCTGCACAGTAGTGATTCATTTGGAGCCTGAGTCTGCACAGTAGTGATTAATTTGGAGCTTGAGTCTGCACAGTAGTGATTCATTTAGAGCTTGAGTCTGCGCAGTAGCGATTCATTTGGAGTCTGAGTCTGCACAGTAGCGATTCATTTGGAGCTAGAGTCTGCACAGTAGCGATTCATTTGGAGCTAGAGTCTGCACAGTAGCGATTCATTTGGAGCTAGAGTCTGCACAGTAGCGATTCATTTGGAGCTAGAGTCTGCACAGTAGCGATTCATTTGGAGCTAGAGTCTGCACAGTAGCGATTCATTTGGAGCTAGAGTCTGCACAGTAGCGATTCATTTGGAGCTAGAGTCTGCACAGTAGCGATTCATTTGGAGCTAGAGTCTGCACAGTAGCGATTCATTTGGAGCTAGAGTCTGCACAGTAGCGATTCATTTGGAGCTAGAGTCTGCACAGTAGCGATTCATTTGGAGCTAGAGTCTGCACAGTAGCGATTCATTTGGAGCTAGAGTCTGCACAGTAGCGATTCATTTGGAGCTAGAGTCTGCACAGTAGCGATTCATTTGGAGCTAGAGTCTGCACAGTAGCGATTCATTTGGAGCTAGAGTCTGCACAGTAGCGATTCATTTGGAGCTAGAGTCTGCACAGTAGCGATTCATTTGGAGCTAGAGTCTGCACAGTAGCGATTCATTTGGAGCTAGAGTCTGCACAGTAGCGATTCATTTGGAGCTAGAGTCTGCACAGTAGCGATTCATTTGGAGCTAGAGTCTGCACAGTAGCGATTCATTTGGAGCTAGAGTCTGCACAGTAGCGATTCATTTGGAGCTAGAGTCTGCACAGTAGCGATTCATTTGGAGCTAGAGTCTGCACAGTAGCGATTCATTTGGAGCTAGAGTCTGCACAGTAGTGATTCATTTAGAGTCTGAGTCTGCACAGTAGTGATTCATTTGGAGCTTGAGTCTACGTAGTAGTGATTAATTTAGAGCTTGAGTCTGCACAGTAGTGATTCATTTAGAGTCTGCACAGTAGTGATTCATTTGGAGCTGGAGTCTGCACAGTAGTGATTCATTTGGAGCTTGAGTCTGTGCAGTAGCGATTCATTTGGAGCTTGAGTCTGCGCAGTAGCGATTCATTTGGAGCTTGAGTCTGCGCAGTAGTGATTCATTTAGAATCTGCGTCTGCACAGTAGTGATTCATTTGGAGCTAGAGTCTGCACAGTAGTGATTCATTTGGAGCTTGAGTCTGCACAGTAGTGATTCGTTTAGAGCTTGAGTCTGTGCAAGTAGCGATTCATCTGGGGTCTGAGTCTGCGCAGTAGCGATTCATTTGGAGTCTGAGTCTGCACAGTAGCGATTCATTTGGAGCTTGAGTCTGCGCAGTAGTGATTAATTTGGAGTCTGAGTCTGCACAGTAGCGATTCATTTAGAGCTTGAGTCTGCACAGTAGTGATTCATTTGGAGCTTGAGTCTGCGCAGTAGTGATTCATTTAGAGCTTGAGTCTGCACAGTAGCGATTTGTTTAGCGCTTGAGTCTGAGCAGTAGTGATTCATTTGGAGTCTGAGTCTGCGCAGTAGCAATTCATTTAGAGCTTGAGTCTGAGCAGTAGTGATTCGTTTGGAGCCCGAGTCTGAGCAGTAGCGATTCATTTGGGAGTCTGAATCTGCGCAGAAGTGATTCATTTGGAACTTGATTCCACACAGTGAACATTTATTTAGAGCCCGAGTATGCACAGCAGTGATTCATTTGGAACCCAAGTCTGCGAAGTAGTGTCTTATTTGGAGCTGAAGTCTCTGCAGTAGCAGTTTATTTGAAGCCCAGGCCTGCGCGGTAGCGATTCGTTTGGGAGTCTGAGTCTAAACTGTAGTGATTTGTTTAGAGCTTGTTTCTGCACAGTAGTGATTCGTTTAGAGCTTGAGTCTGCGCAGTAGTGATTTGTTTAGAACTTGAATCTGCACAGTAGTGATTCCTTTGGAGCTTGAGTCTGCGCAGTAGCGATTCATTTAGAGCTCATGTCTGGTAGTAGCGATTCATCTAGAGCTCGAGTCTACGCAGTAGTGATTTGTTTAGAGCTCGAGTCTGCACAGTAGTGATTCATTTAGAGCTCGAGTCTGCGCAGTAGTAGTGATCTTGAGGTGGAGCCACGATATCAAAGTCCCACACAAACTCCTGCAGACCCAATCTGCGAAGTAGTGTCTTATTTGGAGCTCAAGTCTCTGCAGTAGCAGTTTATTTGAAGCCCAGGCCTGCGCGGTAGCGATTCGTTTGGGAGTCTGAGTCTAAACTGTAGTGATTTGTTTAGAGCTTGTTTCTGCACAGTAGTGATTCGTTTAGAGCTTGAGTCTGCGCAGTAGTGATTTGTTTAGAACTTGAATCTGCACAGTAGTGATTCCTTTGGAGCTTGAGTCTGCGCAGTAGCGATTCATTTAGAGCTCATGTCTGGTAGTAGCGATTCATCTAGAGCTCGAGTCTACGCAGTAGTGATTTGTTTAGAGCTCGAGTCTGCGCAGTAGTGATTCATTTAGAGCTCGAGTCTGCGCAGTAGTGATCTTGAGGTGGAGCCACGTTATCAAAGTCCCACACAAACTCCTGCAGACCCAATCACAAACACACAATCATGGCACCACACCCCATTTTTCTAGCGTCAAATGTCTAAATACAAATAAACTAAATACAAACTTAGCAAACTAACAACAAACTCTTGAACATACATCAGCATAATAAAAACTACCTAAAACGACAGAAGCCATCTTTGCGGAAAATTTATTTTATTTTATTTGGCTCCCTTCCTATTGGTTTACATGGGGGGCGGGTTATGACCTATACTGCAGCCAGCCACCAGATCGAAATGTTTTGGCTTCACTTTTCAGCATTTATTATCAGATATGACTGTAATAGTTGAGTGTATGTTGTTGTACCTCTGTAGCTCGTAAGTGTGTGCGTCGCTCTGCTCCGTCTCTGCGCTGCTGCTGATTGGCTGGGGTTTGTTCTGCTCAGCAGGAAGTGACATCAGCTCAGCGGTGATGGATTCTCTGAGCCGCCACACCTGATTCTGCAGCACATTCACATTCACACTGACATCTGATTCAGACTGTTGCTAGATGAAGATCACTAATGTGAATAGATGACGCCTCTGTAAATTTGTAAATTTCATAAAAAAATCAAAAATATATAAAAACGTAATTTTTGATTAGTAATATGCATTGCTAAGAACTTCAATTGGCCAACTTTAAAGATGATTTTCTCAATATTTAGATTTTTTTGCACCCTCAGATTCCAGATTTTCAAATAGTTGTATCTCAGCCATACACCAATGGAAAGCTGATTTATTCAACTTTCAGATGATGCATAAATCTCAATTTCAAAAAAATTACCCTTATGACTGGTTTTGTGGAAATATTATTAACAAAACTCTAAATATGTGATAATCTGTAAAAATGTCTATTTTATAAATATGTCTGTTTTAATGTTTATCTTTATACTTTTTTTGATTATTTATACTTGTTTTTGTTAATTTATTTATTCTTTCATTTTATTATAATGTGTCTTGTTGTTGTTGATTTCATATGTATGCACTGGAAGGTTCATTACCAAAAAACAATCATTAGCCCTATTCGCACAGGATTAGTATTATCTGGAGACCTCGTGTGATTTAGAAATGAAATCATGGGAAAAAATCTCTTTCTAAATGTACATCAAGAAGATTACTTATTGTGGTTAATTTTTTAATAAACCCATGTTAAATTGTTTAAGTTTCATGACTTCAATTAATAAGTCATGCCATTAGATTATTACATTTTATTTAACCATTAAAATGGAATCCAGAAAAGTTCAAACAAAATCAAAAACTGAATCCAGCAAAATTAAAACGGGGGAAAAAAACAGAATTTGGGAAAATTACAATGTATTTTATAGGCCTCTAAAATGTAGTTTTTGTTAAACTTTTGATCACTCAAATGTTATAGAACCATTAAAACGGAATCCAGAAAAAACGTGAATTTGGTAAAATAAATAAATAAATAAAACAGATTTCATAAAGCCCTACTTACATTTAATGTTTTTCAGAAATGTTGTTTTATTTTTTCCCAAATTCTCTGTTTTGAATTCCATTTTAATGGCTTGATTTAATTTTAATAATCAGAAAGCACATCTAATCCACTGAATTCATAAAACTTTATCAATTAAATTTTTTAAGAATAACAGCGCCCTATGAAATTTCTATTTTTTTTTCCCCAGAAATTCTGTGTGGTCTGTTTGAATTTCTCTGGATTTTATGATGTAATACATATTTACAGTAAATTCCATTTTTATGACTGAATTTCATGATTTTGTTGATGTTTTCATCGATCAGTGTTCACCGTACCAGTTTTCCCTGCAGGTGGAGCAGATCTCTATCCTGCTGCTGGTTGATCTCCATCATGATGTCTCTGCTGCGGTCCAGTGCTCCCGTCTCTCTGTACGGCACAGCAGAGTGAGAACATCTTATGGTGTGTGTTCACACCAAACGTGAATTTAATCATTCGCATGACTAGATTACATACAACCTCAATGCAAGTATGCAAATAGAGGCGAATTCGCACTGGGCGACGCAAATGATGCGAAACACACGATATTCGCCTAAATCCAGAGGTCGCATTAACCGAAAATTTTCCGTCATTGACAGAATTTTTTTAGCAGTGACGGGAAAACCTGAAAGCCGTCCGTCACTTTGACAGATTACACTGAGGGTGATCTACTGTAATTTAAAACTGTAATTCCCACCCAGTATTTATTGCTTGAATTTCCTAATAAAATGGACATAAATTTGAAATCTGAGACTTTGTTTCATATCAAAAGTAACAACGCACAAAGCTTAGCCTATTGTGATTTATTGGACATTCATCAACTGAAAACAGAGTCGATTGGAATTTAAGAATCGATATTGGTTCATAAAAATGAGAATCTATTAAAATCGAGAAATCTTTTTTTTTTTACCAAGCCCTAGCATATTTTGTTGTTTTTAGTGTCTTGAACATGAAAAGTGTTGTATTTTATTAGCATGGCTACAGAGATGCTGCTATCAATAAAAAAAAATATCACTAGCTATGTTTCCATCCAAAGATGCGAATTTAACTTATGCGCAAAACTGGAATATCGCATAAAACATTTGCGAATAAAGCACCGTTTCTATCCAACGAGTCAAAGAGAACAAAATCGTCACTTCCTGATAAACTGGCACTAAATATCTCTAAGAAAACTAGGAGAAGCCACTGAATATAATAAGTTTCATATTTAATAAACTACTTGCACCTCAGAAAGCAGACGTAACACAATAAATGCGGTCATTGCTTTGCTGTTTGGGAACGCAGTCGTGTAAGACAGTAATTATACAGAAATACTTTGACGACAGACTTTCCTCAGGCATTTCAGAATGACCAAAACAACATATAGATGCTGTGAACGAGATCGGTCCGCTGCTAGTCAAGTTATCCCGTCTCATAGCACAAAGTCACATGACTTTTTCAATGCGCATGGTGGAATTTATTCGGTAAATGTGTTTCCATCTTAATTTATGTGCATTTTTTTTCTTATCGGATAAAACATTTATCCTACTCAATTGTGCGCATAAGTTTTTTTATGCTAATTTTTAGAATTTATGCGCATCTTGGCGTTTCCATCCAGCGTTTTTTTATGCGATATTCCAAAATGTGCATAAAAATAGGTGGATGGAAACATAGCTAGTGAATATACAGCAGTAAAATGTAACACACAATAATGCAGGATCAATACTAGTGCTGTCAAACGATTAATCGTGATTAATCGCATCCAAAATATACGTTTTTGTTTACATAATATATGTGTGTACTGTGTATTTATTATGTGTGTATATATGAATACACACACATACAGTATATATTTAAGAAAAATATGTTATATTTGTATATTAAATATATTTATATTATATAAATTATATAAATGTAAAATATACATGTAAATGCATGTAATTATTTTCAAAATATATACTGTATGTGTGTGTATTTATGTATGCATAATAAATATGCACAGAACACACACACATATGTTATGCAAACAAAAACTTTTATTTTGGATGCGATTAATCGTTTGACAGCACTAATATATACTCATCCGCCTCTGAAACCAGACACATCAGCATTTGGCTTTCCAGCATATATGGGACTTCCACAACAGGTAGTTAGTTAGTTAGTTAACATCTAAAATAACATCTTGTGAGTAATATAGAGCGAGTGACGCGATGCGCATATTCGCTTCGCATTTGGTGTGAACACACCATTAAAGCTGCGCTCAACAATAAAGCTGCTGATGAAGAGTCACTAACCTGGTGGCTGTGTAAGAGTAGCCTACAAACGCCAGATGAAGCCCAACCGGCGCTCGCTCCATCACGTCACTCAAGCTTTCCTGAACACAAGAGCAGAAGAGTCAGATCACGCTGAGATTCACCATCTCCATGAAGGATCTGATGGCTTGGGTACCGTGTCGCTCAGACAGTCGTCTAGCACGTCGAAGTTGGAGGTGTCTGTGGCGTTGGAGACGTCAGGACGGTACGGAGGAGGGAGAAGATGAAGGGAACTCCAGTCCAAACCTGTGAAGAACGGGTGTTTTCTGAAGTCCATGGAACCCCGTGAGCCCAACCTCTCGCTCCTGTCGCAGATCAGAGCGCTGATGAGTGACCTCGCCTCCTCGGACACCTCAGGCCCCGGAGGAAACTCAAAATAATCCTGTTCAGACAGAAACACACACTCAGCGCTTCATCTACAGTATATTCATGCCTTATTTTTTACAAACATGCGCAAATCGCAGAATCCTGCAAACTGTCATGGAACTGGTCAAAAATTGTCTGGCAGACTCAGAAATCTACATGACAACCTGTCAAATTAAAAGATCAGTTTAACGAAGAAATTATGACAGAAATATATTACTATTGTATATTAAAGCTTACTTCTCAAAACAGAAATAATAATAATAGTAGTAGTAATTAATTAAAAGATCAGTTTAACTTGAAGAAATTATGACAGAAATATATTACTATTGTATATTAAAGCTTACGTCTCAAAACAGAAATAATAATAATAATAATAAATTAAAAGTTCAGTTTAACTTGAAGAAATTATGACAGAAATATATTACTATTGTATATTAAAGCTTACTTCTCAAAACAGAAATAATAATAATAATAGTAATAATAATAATAATAATAGTAGTAATACATTAAAAGTTCAGTTAAACTTGAAGAAATTATGACAGAAATATATTACTATTGTATATTAAAGCTTACTTCTCAAAACAGAAATAATAATAATAATAATAGTAATAATAATAATAATAATAGTAGTAATACATTAAAAGTTCAGTTTAACTTGAAGAAATTATGACAGAAATATATTACTATTGTATATTAAAGCTTACTTCTCAAAATAGAAATAATAATAATAATAATAGTAGTAGTAGTAATAAATAATAATTTACTACAGCACAAAAATGCTAAACCTCTTCACCACAGCTCACCAAAATAAAAGTTTGGTTTAACTTGAAGAAAACATGCAGAAAAGTATCATTATTGTATACTAAAATGTATTTCTCAAAATAATAATTATATAGAAATATCACACAGAATTACACAATTTTTCATCCATGTTTTGTTTTAATTTAAACAGAAAACTTCTGTTGTGCATCACTTTGTTTGCTAAAAAAATATAGTAATAATAATTTAACCACCTTTTAAAAGATTAATCAAATTCTTAAAAGTTTTACACATTCGATTGCCATGGTTTTTGATAGTAAATTTGTATTAAATCATAAAACACAGAATCCAGAAATATTGAAACAGATAAAACAGAATTTCTGAAAAATAGGGCACCATTACTGTTTTGTGAATTCAACTGATTTTGAATATTAAAAGTTATTTGAAACCATTAAATATGGAATTTCATAGAGACCTACATTAGGCAGACGTTTTATTCAAAGTAAATGTTAGTTATATTGAATTGAAGGTACAGTGTACATGTTTACATGTTTTATAACTTATATTTGAGTGCTGTGCTCTACTGTATGAACTACATGAACACTTCTATTGTCCTATTCATCAAAAACAGACATAATTTAGTTTTTGGTGAGCGTTATCTCCTGCTGTTTGGGAATAATTGCATCTATCCTACTTCCTCCTCACTGCTTCCCCAACTGGACTAGTTAGTTTCCTGAACTCCAGCTGTCACTGACTTGTAAATGTGGACATTCACCTTTAACTTTCTGACGTCAAACGAGTTGTTTTTACTGTTTAGTTTAGCTTTTTTTCACTGAAGAGGAAGCTCTGAAACATACAGCATGTTTTTATCGTACAATGAACTAATAAAAATGATCAAGGAAGAGTCAGTTTCTCATGGTGTGAGTTCTTTAAGTTCACCAGTGGTCACTAATGAACTACTTTCCTCTCTGAAGTCAAGCCACATTTATTTCTATAGGGCTTTATACATTACAGATTCTGTCGAAGCAGCTTCACAGTAATACATAGGAGAATAACAGTTAATGTTGCAAAATTCATCAGTTATGATCAGTGTTGGGGAAAGTTACTTTTAAAAGTAATGCATTACAATATTGCATTACTCCATAAAAAAAGTAACTAATTACGTTACTTAGTTACTTTTGTATGGAAAGTAATGCGTTACGTTACTTTTGCGCTACTTTTTAAATCTGGACAGGGCTTGCTTGTTTGTTTTTAAAATAAAAAAGTTATATTTTTGGCAAATATAAAAGACTTTTCACACCAAAAGTGAAATGAATAAGCCTCAGGCTGAAGGGAAAGTACATTTACGTCCGTACAGTAGAATGCAGAAGAAGACATTTCAACACACTTCAGCAATAAACAAAGACACACAAATGTTCGTCTAGAGTAATTTGTGCTTATTAGTACGGTTGAACTGGATCATCGAAGGGGTTGAACTGAATCATCGAAGGTCAGAAGCAAAGACTTTGGTTAATAGAATGGGATTAAATACATAAAGCATATTTGTGTTGTTTAACATTTAATTATTGCAGGTTTGCGTCATATTCTGAGTTGCATTATTTTTATTAATTTTGAGGAATACTGAATCTGTGTGGGGTTTTTTTTGTGAGTGAGATGAATTAATGCATATTCTTATTTATTCTAGAACTACAGTAACATCTTCTGATTTCTGTCACCATGGCGACACGAGAGCTGTCAATCAATAAATTGAAAAAAAAAAGTAACTTGCGTTACTTATTTGAAAAAGTAACTCAGATATTCTCTTGTAAATTAAAAAGTAATGTGTTACTTTACTAGTTACTTGAAAAAAGTAATCTGATTACGTAACTTGCGTTACTTGTAATATATTACTCCCAACACTGGTTATGAAATCAAAGCTGTAACTACAGAAGACAACAGTGCCATTATCCAGTTCAATCCAGGTTTGTTCTAGTCTCACGGTGTCAGTGCAGTTAAATCAGTGCTATTACTGAATATTTAGAGTCTTTCTGTACTAGAATTATGTTTGGTGACAGAAGGGCTGGGTGAAAAATATTACCACAAAACCTTTTCCCACTTTTTTTTAAATTTTCTGTCAAATAAGATGCAGCACAACAGAAATGTGGATGGATGGAAAAATATCTTGGTTGTACGATATTCCTTAAATAATTATATTATTAATATTTTGAGAAGTACGTTATATAATAGTAATATACAGTGATGGGAAAGTTATACTAATTAGTAACACAAAATTAGTAACTAAATGTGTTACTTTGTTACATTTTTGTAAAGTAATCTGTTACATTACTTTTGCATTACTTTTCTCTCACCTGGGCTGACCTTGCTAAAAAAGCAACAACAACAACAACAAAAAAACAATAACAGTCATATTTGATCAATAATTTAAAACACACACACACACACACACACACACGTGATGTTTAACTAAAGTCATTTTGTAACTAAAGTAACTTGCTTTACTTATTTTGAAAGTAATATTTAGTTGTAAATTTTAAAGTAATGCGTTACTTTACCAGCTGCTTGAAAAAGTAATCTGATTACGTAATTTAAGTTACTTGTAATTCGTTTCCCTCAACACTGGTAATATACATAAAATACTACTACATTTCTGTCATAATTTCTTCAAGTTAAACTGAACTTTTATGTTGTAGGTTTGTGGTGAAGATCTGTGAGTCTCAGTGTGTGTTTGACGGTGGTTTTTCTCAAAGTAAACTCTCAAGTGACTCTCAAAGCAGCTCTAGAGATGAAGTTCATGTGCTTATATATTGAGATGCAGACGTAAAAAACACAGCGAGTGTCACGTGTGTTTGAGTTTGTTTAGTAGATGAAATTAAAGCACTTGTTCACACAGACACGCAGAACATGCAGACTATTAGACACACGCACTGACTGCTGCTGTCACCTTTATTTCCACTGTGTGATCAGCAGAAATCCTCGTTATCAACATAAAATTTTATAGCAATCTCCATATGATATTGCTTATCATTCAACCCTGCATCCTAGCACTTTAACCACTAGACTACAGCGTCCTAAAGCAGCACTCCTTTACCTTGAAGTAGGGCTGGGCGATTTTTCAGATTTTATTGATTAATTCGAATTTAATGTTTTGCCACGATTTTATTTTTTTATAAATTGAGGAATCTCGATTTTGAATAGAAATATTACCAAACATTAGAATTAGACACTTTGACAATATGACAATGATAACATTAAAGAGAAAAGAATGATCAACTGTTCCTGTGTGACGCGCTCAGTGAAGGACCATAAGTAGAATATAGTGCGAGGTGCAGTTCACACAGAATGAGCTTTTGTGTTGATAAAGATGCGACGCGGCAGCGGAAAAGGAAAAAATGCAAGAAGATGGGAGTGAACTTCTTTTAACTTGAGCGGCGTGTTGTTAGAAAGCCGTTTCATTCAAGAGACGTGAGTGCAACAGTCAAATACGTCCATGTTTACACAGAAAAACAATGGAAAAGCAGCGCAATCGAATAAAAAACCTGTAAAGAACTACTGCTGTATGTCTGATATTTCATGTTTGCATCACGGTGACTGATGACTGAAAGCTGCTGTTCATTGTTTTTACAGAACATTTATAGTTAATAATAGTCTACTGGTGTTATAAGTTTTTCATTTTGAATTACCTTGACTTTTGAGAATTAGTTTTAAAGCATTTTCCTCGTATTATTTCTGAACACATAATATGTATAAGACAAGTTTGTACAAGATGTAGTTGTAGCTCATGCATCTTTTCTGCAAAGATATTTAACAAGTGATTCGTTTAACATTTACATCATGTTGACAACTTCATGTGTGCTGCAATCGGAATAGAATTTTCTTTAACTAGAGGGTTAATAAAGAACAAGTTACTTAATTCATGTTTTAGTTCATTTTCAAGTTGACTAGTTGAAAATTGTAAAAATCGAGAATGTCAAATATTCTGAAAAAAAAAATGGAGATTTTAATTTTTTGCCATATCGCCCAGCCCTACCTTGAAGTGTATTATTTTGGCATATGTCTCAGAGATGGACTCGGCGTAGAAGGGTGTGGCTCCCAGCAGCATCTCATACGCGCAGACGCCCAGAGCCCACCAATCGCACTCAGAGCCGTAGCCTCCGCCGCCCTCCACCGCCCGCAGGATCTCTGGAGACAGATAGTCTGGAGTCCCGACGGCCAGTGACGAGTGCATCTGAGAATATACAACATATGAGCACAGCGGGCCAATCACACATGACTGAATGTAGGCTTACGTCTGATAAACATCACCAGTCCGTCATCCTCCAGACGCAGACAGGAGCCAAAATCACCCAATCGCACATGACCATCCGCCGTCAGGAGAATGTTGTCAGGCTTAATGTCTCTACAGGAAGACAGCATCAAACTGAACATCCGATCATCCTATACAACATCCTATCCACTCATTTGTGTGTGTATATATATATATATTGTGACGAGCGTCCCGAAGCTTCATCAGCGTCGCCCTGGAAACAAGCGAGGAGCACCTGGCCATCATCATCACAGGCTGATCGGTCACAGCTGCACCTCATCAGGCGGCGGCTACATAAGCCACGCAAGCCCTGCCATCTAGGAGATTCCTCCATGAGACTGAGCACTAACTTGCCCTTGCATTTTTCCCACAGAAAGCAGCGTGTGACCGACCAGCCCCACAGGAGCACTGCACGGACCCTCTGCACTGGGAAGACGGAAGAGAGCACTCACGGCACCGGAGCACCTACCTGGACCTTTCTCACTAGCACCCATCACCCCAATAAATCCACCCTCCGGGGTATTGATTGAGATTACTTGTCGTGTGATTCTTCACCCCGTT